TTAGATACCAACAAGAATTAAGTGTACTCACGTGTCAAATCCGACAAAGTAAATTTCGCGCCTCTTTTCCCAAATGTACCCCTTGAAGAATAGGGCCAAATATGCAACTATGGCAATATAAATATGTACAATTAACAAAAAATGCTGGGATCTTTGTAGATTATTTAATGAATGAAAACTTACCAATACTTAAAAATGTAATTAACATAATCATGAACACCCAAACGACCGAACCCTCTTTTCCATACATACTTCCCGTGAAATACTCGTCAGATCCACCACCACCACTTATACTATTCTCATCATAAATGGAGACGAAATACGCCGCTTGGACGATTTCTGTTTGAAAAAATAAGGAGTTTTATTTATAAATTTGAATATATCATTACACCTCAAGCTATGATAGTCAACATTTTTCATACGAACCTAATATAACTATCAGAACTACAAAAAGCAATTGAGCACCTTTTATGCCCAGTAAAATGTGTTTAAAAGGAAGACTCATATATTTTTTGTTTTTACGAAAGAATTAATATGGCAAAGATATCGGTAGGAATAAATAAGAAAGTGAATCCAAATATTGAAAAAAAAAAAACAAATGCAAAATAATGTAATTTAAAGATGTTAGGTTTAGTATCGGAGAAAATCCGTTATCAAGTAAAACAATATTTGCGTTACAATATATATTATTCCTTTAAAAATTCTACACAACATATATGCCGAATAAATAATATGAATGGTCAAGCGCAAGCAATAAATTATGTATGGTATATACTAGCCATGAATGATTGAGATATCCTTATTTCACAGCCTATGTATCTATGATCTGAAGCCAAACTAAATTTGGGAAGAAAGTCTTGAGTAGTAAAACATTAAATAAAAGGCTTACACAAGAGATATTTTGATCAATTATTAATTTAAATAAAGTTTTTTAACCGAATAGTTCTTGTAATTGAATTTCATACAATCCACAATATTTTTCATACTATAAAATAGGGATCTCCTTCAAAATAATTGCCTATTTTTTTTTAATCATAGTGGA